AAACATTTAAGTGCCAAGATGATAGAAGAAGGGCTCGAAGTGACCCGGCATTAAACCGTTTCGCTTGCCAGTATAGTAGAGAGGAAAGTAGCTAGTGACCACGGACATAGTGGCTAGTTAGTTCGGTACTGTGTGTAACGGCTAGCTTCTTTTGGCCTCAGATGTGCGGGACCAACAGGTAACAGAGGGAGTAAAGCCAAGGAGGAAACATGCATACCTACCAGTGGAATCGTCCAGAGTCACCCACACCTGAGTGTTTCGACCGCAGGAAAATCACACGAAAATGAGCAGAAGAGGAGTCAGTATTGCTGTCAGGATGTGTGGACATAAGAATGGAGTAAACGTGGTGTTTTCTCACAGGAATCTATCAGCATATTTCAGGAGTTCACGTAGACATGAAATAACTTTGACAAACACACAACGCACCTCCAATTACCTGGGCAGCTGTTTTGACTACGAATGATTGTAAACAATAGAGAGCAGAACTTCCGTTTTCGTTGTGACTTGACTGTCAATGCACTCACCAAGATCAGTTGGGTTAGAATATAGCCCACGATGAGTGAACCAGTCCAAACAACTCGCATCGGAGTAGTCAATGTGTGTCATGGCTTGCTCGCTTGTCACGCCATGTATCCGCTTCCCTCATCTGGTTCCGTCAAAACTGCAAGTCTAGCGTCCACAGATGCGCCTTGCATGTGGCCACGTAAAAACGCATTCATGTAGTAGAGAAGAGGTGCACGGATGATGCGCATTATCTGATGTGCTAGCACTGCTTCAGCACCTGCAGCATCAGTGGGAGGGTCTGCATTCGTTTTCCCATTTGATAGGATTGTGGAGTGGAGTGAGGAGAGTAGGTGAGAGATGGTAATGTTGAGTTGAATGGCACTATTCACGAACACGGATGTAGAGAGAATCGTTTGAGGTTGTGATACAGGATGTTGTAATAGCATTGTTAACGTTGATGCACACTGTGAGTGAGAAGGTGGTTGGTATGACAAGCCTCGTAGCTCTATTGACATATATTCGGACCTTCGTATGGGTGGGGTGAGAGGGGGGAGGGAATAAGGGGAAATGCTTGGTCCTTCA